TAAATTAGTGGCGAGCTGAATCGAAAGTTGCAGACTTGGTTCCGCACACTTATACTTCGCTAAAAGAAAACGAGTTCGACAGCTACAGTAATGTGCATGGGAAAACTTTGAAACTGGTAGATTTTCCCGGCGCAGAACGACTGCGGAAACAATTGTTTCTCAGATACTTTGAAAAGGTAGAATTTAAGGTCTAGTTTTAAAATGCTAGAAGCTGTTTCTTCCTTGCATCTTGCTTCTCCACCTGACAAGTTTTTAGAATGAATGTTTGCTTTACGTCTACCTTGACAAAGTGGAGATTGCGGTGCTATAGGACTTGCTTATGAATTATTGTAAATATGCCTTGAATCTGCTTTATAAAATGGCTAGTGAGAATAAGAGCCGAATGATATTTATGAATTATAGCGCAGTAACAAAGTTAAGCGACACTGCTGTAATAACTTTTGCCTGATTAGTTTGGGGCGTTTCTGCACAGATACGTGTTTATTTCAGTTAATATTATTGTGACATTACTACTTGGACTTTGCAGGGCAACAGCTTGATCAAGGGAGTAATATTTGTTATTGATAGTTCGACGTTTAGTAAGAAAGCAAGAGACGTTGCCGAATTTCTTTACGATGTACTACGAGAGTCGCCGAAAGGAACATTTATTCTTATTGCATGCAACAAGCAAGATATACAACTAGCAAAGAGTTCGCAGGTAAATAGTTCTTATTTTATTTACTTATGCTAATATTAATCCGTGTTCATTATTTATTCATTGTGCAGAAATTTTTTTACCTGAAATTATATTTTTTAGATACATTTGCTTACCTGTACATGCAGCTTTGTCATCTCACCTTTATTTTTGATCACCAAGAAGTTTAGAGGTATTGTAGATTTACTGTATTGATTATACTTTTTTGAAGGGTATTCGTAATGCTCTAGAGAGAGAAATTGGCTTGATCAATAGCTCGCGAAGTGCAGCTCTGGAAACTACTGATGGAAGTAGCTCTCGTAGAATACTGACTACAACAGGTGCGTATATTTATTTGACTGCTGGTTCAGTGAATTTTGTGAGTAGATTTGTAAAATTAGTGAAAAATAAAAGTAGTTTTTTTTTTTTTTCAAATTGTAGTGTAAGATGATCAAAAAGTATTTTCATTTATTTTCAAACGTTGTGCAGCAATTTTCCTGAAATTTATAGTCATCTGTCGCTGTATTGGTTATATTTCTAGGAAAGAGCTTCCAGTGGACTGATTTACCACAACTGAAAATCGATTTTCTCGACTGCTGTGCAGATAAAGAATATCAAGTTGAAGATGGTAATGTTTTAAGTTCTGATGTAATTAGGAATTGGATTAATGGTATTAGAATTTAAGTTCTTAGTTGTTTCTTGCTCTCAAGCATGTCTTGAACGGTTCTTGGATCAACAAAAATCAAAGAGAGTTTTTTTCAAACACAGAGCAATTTATGGTTGCATTTTAATGCACAATTTTCGTTCTTTATTTATGTATTTTTGTTTTTTTTTTCTGTATTCTTGTATCACTTTATAGGGGAAGTTAATTTATTTGCATCATTTCTCTGCTTGAACGAAGTTTGCTAATGGGTATGCGTGTTTACATTCTTGCTTTTCTAGAGAATGTTTGTTGCTTATTGATCATATTGAATATGATCTTTTTTCGTTTTTAGAATAAAATCTACAGATTATCGTTAATTTAAAGTTGTTAAGTTTGCAATTGAGTGAAGTTCAAATAGTTTTTTTCTCAATTTTTTTGGCTGTGCAACGTTTGTTTTCACATCGCTGGTGGTGTTTCATCGTTAACAATGGTTAACGATGTTTTTGAAAATGTGTAGTTTGAAATTTATTGCTTTTTAATGTCAGGTAGTTTTTCTGCATTTTTTTCGTCAAGACTCAGTACAAACAAAGGGTGTTTTTGATTTATATTTTTTCACGACTGGATATTACAAATTATTGGGTCTTTAAACTCGGGTTATTTTAGTAAGTTTATGTATGAAACTTTTCAAGGATTTTGAAATACTACAAGTAATTTTTAAGTGTCCAGGTTGTGATATTATTTCGCTTTGTTTTGCATGACATTATGATTCGTTTTTCTTGTTTTCTTTTTTTTTTCAGAGTTTATTATGGTGTTTATAACAATGAAGAACCGCTTTATGATGGTGTTTTAAAAAATTATAAAAGCTTTGTGTACTGTTCTGCTTTTCTTGTTTTCGCGACTAATACTTCATAAGTTAGTTTTCTGATGTTAGCAGCAGGTCGAATACTGCTCTTCTTCTTAACTTATTGGCTCGTGAAAGTACGGGGTGAGTGCACTTTTAATTTCTGATAGTTGTAACAGGTTTGACTTGTGCTGTTAATCTTTATATTTTAAATTAAATTTGGTTAGTTCGAAAATATTTTAATTTAGAGTGACACTGGTTTGAAACTTTGAATAGTACACACTGAAATACTTTTTGGTTAGCAGTTGGACGTATCAAACATTGACGAACTTCAGATATCATCTGTGGCATAATTGGAGAATTGAATCTTGACGGAAAGTTCATTTCTGGGAGATAGTAGACTTATGACCATTTTTTGTCTATTGATAGCTAAAATTTTTGACGAACGTAAGTAACGCATGGCGGAATATGCGAGTGGAAAAGTTTGGGAACAATGATGGAAAATCCAGTTAGTTGCGATGTTAGGTTGATACGGATGTACCGCCAATTCTTTATGGCTGCATCTTGTAGTTTAGTGAGATTGACAAAGTTTCATTAGAGAGATCTGCAGGCTGTTTAGAAAGTTTGAACTTAACTTTGCTTTTATAGTGCAGTGTGAAATTTCTAGAATTTTTAATCTTTGTCGTTAAAAAATTTGGACTATCAAGGTTAATGCTTATACCATATCAGTTTCTTCTGACATTAACTTTTTCTCACTTCGTGCAATAAGACCGAGCTTTCATTAACATTCTGCAGGAGCTGTTATTTTAGTGCTTTCTAGTTTTGTGCCAGAATCGCTTCAGATATTTGAAGTGAAGAAAACATGTGGTTTTTTGTGAGTAGTTTGTAGAGAAGAGGATATGAGATTGAAATCTGGTGTAGAGGAAAAAAGCTGTTTTGAAGAAAAAATATAGTGGGATTACCGAATCTTCCCAGCTATTCTTGTGGATTACATTCTTTTATGGTCACTTGGTGCATTGCACTGAAAAGACTTATATCCTTTTTTTGTTTTTTATTTAAAAACAGAAGTTAGAGTCGTGGAGGTAAAGTGGCTGAAGGGTGCTTTTCGTGGAAATTAATGGTTTTTTTCTTGCTATATCAGTCTCAAAACTTTTCTATTAAGACATATTGGACATCCTGTACTGATTATGCTGTGTTCATAGTATTCTAAGAAATTCCATTGATTAAATGGCTGCGATGGTTAACAAACTTTTATATAACAATCTTGTTGGTGTGGTATATGTCAACTAAAATATCATTCATTAATTGTTCTCTCAATTATTGGTCTCGAAAAAACATCTAAAGTTGGTTTTCTGCCAGAAAGTTTTCAGTAAAATTTTAAGTTTGTTCAAATTTGGTTGATTAATAGGATTTGACATTAGGACTCGTAAAACAACAGAGTTTGTTTGAGAAAGTGCATTCTTTGAACAGTTGAACTTTATAAAAGTATAGAATAACTTAAACTTTAGCTGGGCGTAATGCTCGTAATTTCTAGCTTTGTTTTTGTACAAAGAATTTAATTTTCTTCTTTATCTATTCGATACAGTCATTTTCTGCATGTAAGAAGCGTTGTTAAACCGGTGTACACTCGAAGGTTTTGTAAGGTTTTCAAGGGAAAATAAAATTTTGACCAATTTTTTTGCCAAAAAAAGATTATAGAAGCTTTTTTAAGCAACTTTTTTGGTAGTGTCATTTAACGATGCATCCTTCAACAAGTGTTGAGCTTAGAAGTGGTGCGATAAGAAAATGGCTTAAAAGTATTTAGGAACTTTCTGATACTGCAGTTTGAAATCTTTTAAGACAGCATCAAACTTTGTCACGTCAGAAATACTACGGCTGTAAGGATGAAACTCAAAAAAAGGATTAAACGATAAGCTGTACTGCAAAATTCTGTGCAACTTTTTCTGCTTTTTGATGCAGAGTTCTGAAACCATTTTTAAACGTGTGTTACTGGACAGTGTTTTATAAGTAGGTGGAATGAGCATAAGAAAAAAGGAAACCAGAGATCAATTTAGTCAACAGCGCTGTTGAAACTTCGTAAAACTTTCATTTCAAAGTGTTGATATTTTTTTGCACTTTAACTAAATTTAAATAGTTGCTATTGAGTGTACTTTTTTAAGCAATATTCGGTTCTGAACCCAAACAGAACCAGCCACTTAGTTGGTTACAACAAATTTTGAAAATAAATTCTCAAGAAGCTATAACTCAACAAAGGGTGACTCTGTTAACTTGTCCTCAGTGATGTTTATTGCTAGAAACTTACTGCTCAGTAAAAGTTCTCGAAAACATTAACTGACAAATAAAAAGGTATTAAAATGGTCAGTCACTGTTCAAGTGCTGGCCAATTTCCAATGTTTGTGTAGTGGAACTTTAGTAGTAGTACTTTGCTAGGATTTTGTGGATATGCTAAAGTGGCTACCCTTTCAAACGTTACAGTTCAATGAAGTTTGTAAATTGAAAATTTCTTACGTAATAACAATTCGCAGATTTTTCTCACTGATCAACGCTTTATTTTTCTACAAATCTGATTTAACTGGCTTACAGGTCAGTAGTCATAAGGCGATTATGTACAGATAGAAACTGACGTGGGCTAATCAAACAGTTTTGAAGAACAAAGTTTCTAAATTAATGGCTCATTGGATTTATTACAGCAGAACTGCCAACTGTCAATAAAACTTCCGAATTGGCATTTGGTCTTTCCTCTATTACAATATACTTTTTTTT